GAGAGAGAGGTGTGTTTAGAGAGAGTGTGTGTGTGTGTACAATATTCTTCCAAAGTGTTGCATCTGTGATGAACGAGTGAAGGAGTTTCCAATTCCAATATCGTGTATGAATGTGTGTTACTGTGTTCAAACTGATTATCTGATCTGTTGTCGAGGAATCAACAACTTCATAAAGTCCATGAGACGACTGCTGATGTGATTCACAGCGATATAAAAATAATGTAATTATTTCTGTGTTCCAATGATCAGTGACCATCACCTGGACCGACAGTGAACCTCAGAGTGAGAGATGAACAATCCTAAAGTGGTGTTTAGTTCAAACAGTGTGTGTAAGTGTGTTGTGATGCCACGTGATTGTGAGTGTTTTAATCAGTCTGGAATGTGTCCCTGCTGTTTGGTCACTAATGCTCCACAAGGCTCTGGAGGAATGCAGCAGGCGCCGCTCACTGCTGATTCATGTGCCTTATGTGTTCCACAGAATATATTTTTTATATATATATATATATATATATATATATATATATATATATATATATATATATATATATTATATATATATATATATATTATATATATATATAGGTACAAATAAGCAATGAAATGCCGGCTCAGACGTCGCCCGGCCAAATAAGGTCTGCGTCAGGTGCTGGGGAACCAGAGCACCTTGATGAAAAGTGGGCTACTGGAACAAGGCGAAAGTGGGCGAGATCCGATAACAGGGCTCTGTTGGAATGCTACAATTCAAGTAACCCTGGCCAAAGAGGTTACATGCAGAGAATGTGGGCTGAATGGTTACTTCGAAACCCACAGTCACAGTTGACCCCGAAACAGTAGTGCCCGTGGTGATCGATGCACTCGGGGCAGTGACCCCGAAGCTAGAGGAGTGGTTACAGCGGATCCCTGGAACAACCTCGGACATCTCGGTCCAGAAATGTGCAGTGCTACAGTAGGAACAGCAAAGATACTGCGCAGAACCCTCAAGCTCCCAGGCCTCTGGTAGAGGACCCGAGCTTAGAGAGGGATAACCGCCCGCGGAGGGCCAAAGGTGAGTGGACATTTTTTTTTTTTTATATATATTTAAATAATAATTATTCAGCACCTATTTGACAATAAATCATTGTCCTGTAGCAACTAAAACTTAAAATAATGAGTCCATAAACTCTGCTCAGACAGTTCGACTCTACCACAATAAAAATACACATATTATTAGCCGCATCGCTACATTAGCCGCAGGCACCAGATAACATGGAAAAGGAAGCGAATTATAATCCAGAGATTACGGCAACTAAACTATATCAAAATGTAAGAGGTAAGTACAGATATTTGTGTGTGTGTATGTACAGTATGTCCCCATAGATGTGTGTGTGTCAGCGTGTGTGTGTGTCCCTCTGCCCTCTGAAACAGCGTGTGCCATCAGAGGTGTGTTGCTATGGAAACGGGTGCAGGATCCTTCAGGGCGCGGTCCTCTCCGATGTCCTTCACTTTCTCCTTAAGCCTCATTCACATGATTTATTTATAATTTCTGCTTCTATAATCTGTGACAGTGACGTGTTCATCCAGACTGAGCTCCTCCTGCATCTTCACAGAGGGTTTCTGTGTTTCTGTGTTCACCTCCAACTATTATTAGAAACCCAATCCTTTTATTCTACAACATTATGGAAACTGTGTGTTCTGGTGCACCTGGTGCTTTCGATCAAGCACCTCGCAATTCAATTCAGGATGATACACACAAATACGCACAGATCTCTCACTGGTCTCTCTGGTTTCTCCCTGGTCCCTCCTTGGTCTCTCTCTGGTCTCTCCCTGGTCTCTCACGGGTCTCTCTCTGGTCTCTCTCTGGTCTCTCCCTCGTCCCTCCCTGGTCTCTCTCTGGTCTCTCTCTGGTCTCTCTCTGGTCTCTCCCTGGTCTTTCCCAGGTCCCGCTCTGGTCTCTCTCTGGTCTCTCCCTGGTCTCTCCCTGGTCTCTCTCTGGTCTCTCTCTGGTCTCTCCCTGGTCCCTCCTTGGTCTCTCTCTGGTCTCTCTCTAGTCTCTCTCTGGTCTCTCCCTGGTCTCTCACGGGTCTCTCTCTGGTCTCTCTCTGGTCTCTCACCGGTCTCTCCCTGGTCTCTCCCTGGTCTCTCTGGTCTCTCACTTGTCTCTCTCTGGTCTCTCTCTCTCTGGTCTTTCTCTGGTCTCTCTCTGGGAAAGATGAATCTTTCCAACAAAAGTGGAGGCACACAAAAAGGAGACAAAAAGAGACCAAAGTCTTGGGATCCACGGATTTGTCCCAAAGCTAAAATCTCTCAAAACGCATCATGTCTCTTGCAGTGATGGGAATAACGGCGTTACTAGTAACGGCGTTACTAACGCCGTTACTTTTTTCAGTAACGAGTAATCTAACTAATTACTTTGACGGTAACTATAACGCCGTTATCATTTCCGACATCCCGTTACTGCGCGTTACTAAAGACGCACAATGAACTTCTCTTTTTACTTCGTGATAGGACTCGTGCGCGTGTTGTCATGAGAGAAGGGAGGATGAGAAAACCTCTCAGCAATTATTGGCGGATGTAAAACATATTTCCTTTACAATCCACATGTCTACAGTTGAGAGGATGGTCATAAATTGTGTTTTTGAAACAAATATGGGTCTTAGTCGCGCTCAACCACAGCTTGTATCACCGTGAGGCCTCAGAGGAGCGTATGTGAGTGCAGAAGTCGGCTGCATACAATTCCATCAGAAAGCTCCTTTCTCTTCCTGGTTTATCTGCTAAGGGCTGCTACAGGTTTGGCTAACATACAAATAACACATTTTAAGATAATTTAAAATGCACTTACGGTAATTTTTCAATTACTATAGGAATGATAAGAAAGAGGTGAAGTGTAAGACGGTTGGTTTTAGAAATTGGATGCACCCGGCTGCAGCAAAACAGAGTAGTTTACGGAGGACACACGCGTTTTGTTTTACTTTTTAAAACTCATTTCCAAACGGAGGATTACATATCTACGCTCAAACTATTATCTGGACTTAAACACAGAACTGGTCTGAACCGAAGTGGACTGTGCAGGTCATTTATAAGGTAAGACCCATAACTCATAGTTTTGCGTTTTGTTTGAACAAACAATGCATGAAACATATTCTGCTGTAGCCAAACAAACTGTCCACTTGATTTATATGATATATATGTTCATCTGATTGGTCTGAAGTCAGTGCTTCACCGGTGTTTCCACATTCACAGTGGCGGGTGTTGGTGTTTAGTGCTTACAGCACAGAGAGAGATGGAGAGTGAGGAAGAATTCAGCAGCAAAACAGACTTTTCTAGATGGAAATATTGGCACTATTTCAGACTCACTGAGGTTAAAGGTAAAAATGCGCACCTCGACTGCACATTATGTTCCAGAACAAAACGAAAAAGTAACGCAATAGTTACTTTTACTGGTAACTAGTTACTTTTATAGTGGAGTAACTCCGTTAGTAACTCAGTTACTTTTTGGGAGAAGTAACTAGTAACTATAACTAATTACTTTTTCAAAGTAACGTGCCCAACACTGGTCTCTTGTAGTCTCTCCAGGTTGAAAGGGCAGCCTTGGCGGAGGCTAACATGAACAGGTCTGACACACTGCTGATGCGACCGGGCAAACTCCCATGATCCTCGAGTATCCGATGGAGAGTATAGATCTGGTCCAGTTTTCCACGGCTGGGATGAAAACCACACATCTCCTCCTGAATCCGAGATTCAACCATCGGTCAAAGTTTCCTCTCCAGATTTTATTTTTCATTATCATTATTTATATTTGTAAATGTTTGTGACTTTGTTCATTGGTAACAAATATGCAAAGATCAATAATGAACCCTATGTCAGGAATGATCACACAAATATTCAACCACATTTTTCCCAGAACCGCTTAAAGGAGTAGCTAGCTGCCTTTATCGTCCCGGGAAGTTTCTCTCTGGGTGAAAAATGTTGGAGACACTTGGTTTAGACTTTTTACACTATACTGTATATGAAACATACACATTTCAATGACTCCAATAAAATGTCATATTTCATTAAGAGTCTTTTTGACAAAGTTGTCATTCACAGTTTCCCGATACATATCGTCACCGCCGTGAGATCAATGTGTATCAGCACCATCAGCGTCACGTATGGTATACACCTGGTATGTACACCTGGCACATACACTGGTACATACACTGGTACGTACACCTGGTATATACACTGGTACATACACTGGTACGTACACCTGGTACATACACTGGTACATACACTGGTACGTACACCTGGTACTTACACTGGTACATACACTGGTACGTACACCTGGTACATACACTGGTACATACACTGGTACGTACACTGGTACATACACTGGTACGTACACTGGTACATACACTGGTACATACACTGGTACATACACTGTACATACACCTGGTACATAAACCTGGTATATACACTGGTACATACACTGGTACATACACCTGGTATATACACTGGTACATACACCTGGTACATACACTGGTACATACACTGGTACATACACCTGGTACATCCACCTGGTACATCCACCTAGTACGTACACTGGTACATACACTGGTACATACAATTGTACATACACTGGTACATACACTGGTATACACTGGTACATACACCTGGTACATAGACTGGTACATATACTGGTACATGCACCTGGTACATAAACCTGGTATATACACTGGTACATACACCTGGTATATACACTGGTACATACACCTGGTACATACACTGGTACATACACCTGGTACATCCACCTGGTACATCCACCTGGTATATACACTGCTACATACACTGGTACATACACCTGGTATATACACTGGTACATACACCTGTATGAGATAGGAGGTACCTGTGCTACATACACCTGTATGTGATGGGAGGTACCTGTGCTACATACACCTGTATGTGATGGGAAGTACCTGTGCTACATACACCTGTATGTGATGGGAGGTACCTGTGCTACATACACCTGTATGTGATGGAGGTACCTGAGGCGTGGCCAGCAGCACGCTCAGCAGCCAGGCAGCCGTGAGCATGCGGCGGTTGCGCTGGTGCGCACTGAGCGCGCGCAGAGGCCGCAGGATGGCGTGCTGGCGGTCCAGGCTGATGACGATGACCACATGTGCGCAGGCGTGCATGCACAGCAGCTTCAGGAAACACAGCAGCTTACACAGGACAGCGCCCCCTCTCCACTGCACCGTGATGTTCCAGGCCGCGTCCATCGGCATCACCAGCAGAGCGCCCATCAGGTGGGCCCCCGCCAGGCTCAGCATCAAGGGCCTGAGGTGGGAGGCCAGGCCCCGAGTGCGCCACACACTCACCAACACACATGTGTTACTCACAGACGCGCACACACACAGCAGCAGCGTGGCCACCACCCGGCACTGCGCCGCCACCGTGAACTGAGGCTGCACCCATCCATGCTCCGCCCCCTCGGAGCTGTTGATGGCAGTGGTCCCAGTGGGCGTGGTCAGAAGAGGAAGGGCCAGGAGGTCACCTGACATCTGCAACAGACACATGTGAGGAGGAAACGGTGAATGTATATGATGCTCCCACAGAGCCTCAGGGAAACAACTGGGGCTGGGCCTGGTCCACAGGCCTGATCCACAGGCCTGGTCCACAGGCCTGGTCCACAGGCCTGGTCCAAAGGCCTGATCCACAGGCCTGGTCCACAGGCCTGGTCCACAGGTGGAACTATAGGAGCATCTGACCATCGGGGCGCCCCAAGGATGTGTCCTGGGCCCTCTACTAGTAACACTGCACATTCACTCGATGTGGGCCTCCCACTGGTTTCTTACTTTCTCCCACTGTGTTTTAGAGCTGTTCCTCTGATGCAGGGTGCTATAAGGATAGAGATGATCCAGGACACTCCACATTCAACCACATTTATGGACCTTGGTCTCTGCCCTTTATGGACCAATGGCTTCATGTGAACATAGAAACAGATGTGTATGAGGGTGGTGGAATTATTCCCACTGATTACAAATGTTTGATAAATATAACTTGTGTGTGATCTATTTCAAAATATAATCTGTAACAAAGGTCTTTTTAAACATGTCACTGGAGCAGTTTCTGTGGTCCCTGGGACCATGTGGCCCATCGTGAATGTCCTCTGTTGTGGTGCTGTCGCTGAGATAAGGCGATCATTAATCACAATAAAGACTGCAGAAGCATTTCCATGGTAACAAGACTCAGAGACTCTGGGAGGTCACCCAGGCTTTAGCCAACATCACTGCCCCAGTATGTGACCTGTACTATGTGTCCTCTATGTCTCCTCTACGTGTCTTGCCTTCTGGGTCCTCTCTGGGTCCTCTCTGGGTCCTCTCTGGGTCCTCTCTGGGTCCTCTCTGGGTCCTCTCTGGGTCCTATCTGTGTACTCTGTCCTCTCTGTCTACACATGTCCAGGTCCTCAGCCTGTGTAAGATTCAGAAGCTGCACTGACACTATCAATTCTGTTCTGAATCTGTCCGCACCTCGGATGATCAAAACATTTTCAGATTGTATTTCTGTCTGATATGACATAGATCATGGTTCTGTATTTCCTACATTTGACTGATGAATATTGATTTAAACCATGTGTCAAAACGAATGAGTCCTCACACCTCTGTGTCTTGGGGGGTTTGACTAATCGCTTGGTCGTTTAAAGGCTGCTTCAAACCTCTGTGTCTGGAGCCAATCACCAAACAGGTGGAGCCAGATCCAGCAGGGGGCGCTCTGGGGGATCACTGATCACAGTGCAGGTCATTGTCAGTCATTTACGTCATCCTTCCATGTTTGTTGTAGATTTTCTGACACACACACTTTCAACTGAACACGGCAACTGTTTATTTTTAGATATTTTTTCGTCTCAAGTGACATTTTCAGTGTCAAAGTGTCATTCTCCTGGTGTGTCCTGGTGTGTGTGTCCAGGTGTGTCTTGGAGTGTGTGTGTCCTAGTGAGTCCTGTCCTGGTGTGTGTGTCCTGGTGTGGCTGTTTGACATAAATAACATTAAATTGTGTGTAACAGTGTTTCTCTGCCACATTCAGCCGTATGAGCTCATGAACTCAAACCGCGGCGTTTAATCCAACGTCTTTGAGTTGAAAAACATTTTGATGAGGTCCAGTTTCTTTCAGTGGCACAGATTCAGTCCGACGTCAAGAACCAGACTTTGTTCTTATTTGAACTTGTACTTTTGTTTTCTATTTCTTTTGCGACCTTTATGTCCACATCCCAATTGTCCACACGTCTCAGATCTCTATCTATTCAGCGGACGGACACCAAAGACCAAAGACTTCCGGACCTCGCCAAATAAAAGGCATCACTCGTTGTCATGACAACAAAGAACAGAGCCTTAACGGGGAGATTTTGCTCAGTTACACTACTGTCTGCGGTGAAACTGAAAAGGATCAAACCTTTTAAAAGAGGTGTTTTTGTCATGGTGTGGACTATTGCTGTATTCGGTTTTATTTTGACATTAGTTACGTCTCTGATTTGATTTCATTTTTACTTGCTGTCCTGTTCCCCTTATAATTGTCTGCCCCGCCCTGAGGTGTTTCACCGGTGTCTAAGTCTATATGTACCTGTGCTCCTCTCCCCTTGATCTATATGTACCTGTGCTCCTCTCCCCTTGTTCTATATGTACCTGTGCTCCTCTCCCCTTGTTCTATATGTACCTGTGCTCCTCTCCCCTTGTTCTATATGTACCTGTGCTCCTCTCCCCTTGATCTATATGTACCTGTGCTCCTCTCCCCTTGTTCTATATGTACCTGTGCTCCTCTCCCCTTGTTCTATATGTACCTGTGCTCCTCTCCCCTTGTTCTATATGTACCTGTGCTCCTCTCCCCTTGTTCTATATGTACCAGTGCTCCTCTCCCCTTGTTCTATATGTACCTGTGCTCCTCTCCCCTTGTTCTATATGTACCAGTGCTCCTCTCCCCTTGTTCTATATGTACCTGTGCTCCTCTCCCCTTGTTCTATATGTACCTGTGCTCCTCTCCCCTTGTTCTATATGTACCTGTGCTCCTCTCCCCTTGATCTATATGTACCTGTGCTCCTCTCCCCTTGTTCTATATGTACCTGTGCTCCTCTCCCCTTGTTCTATATGTACCTGTGCTCCTCTCCCCTTGTTCTATATGTACCTGTGCTCCTCTCCCCTTGATCTATATGTACCTGTGCTCCTCTCCCCTTGTTCTATATGTACCTGTGCTCCTCTCCCCTTGTTCTATATGTACCTGTGCTCCTCTCCCCTTGATCTATATGTACCTGTGCTCCTCTCCCCTTGTTCTATATGTACCTGTGCTCCTCTCCCCTTGTTCTATATGTACCTGTGCTCCTCTCCCCTTGATCTATATGTACCAGTGCTCCTCTCCCCTTGTTCTATATGTACCTGTGCTCCTCTCCCCTTGTTCTATATGTACCTGTGCTCCTCTCCCCTTGTTCTATATGTACCTGTGCTCCTCTCCCCTTGTTCTATATGTACCTGTGCTCCTCTCCCCTTGATCTATATGTACCTGTGCTCCTCTCCCCTTGTTCTATATGTACCTGTGCTCCTCTCCCCTTGTTCTATATGTACCTGTGCTCCTCTCCCCTTGATCTATATGTACCTGTGCTCCTCTCCCCTTGTTCTATATGTACCTGTGCTCCTCTCCCCTTGTTCTATATGTACCTGTGCTCCTCTCCCCTTGATCTATATGTACCAGTGCTCCTCTCCCCTTGTTCTATATGTACCAGTGCTCCTCTCCCCTTGTTCTATATGTACCTGTGCTCCTCTCCCCTTGTTCTATATGTACCTGTGCTCCTCTCCCCTTGTTCTATATGTACCTGTGCTCCTCTCCCCTTGTTCTATATGTACCTGTGCTCCTCTCCCCTTGTTCTATATGCACCTGTGCTCCTCTCCCCTTGTTCTATATGTACCTGTGCTCCTCTCCCCTTGTTCTATATGTACCTGTGCTCCTCTCCCCTTGTTCTATATGTACCTGTGCTCCTCTCCCCTTGTTCTATATGTACCAGTGCTCCTCTCCCCCTTGGCCTATATGTACCAGTGCTCCTCTCCCCTTGTTCTATATGTACCTGTGCTCCTCTCCCCTTGTTCTATATGTACCTGTGCTCCTCTCCCCTTTTTCTATATGTACCTGTGCTTCTCTCCCCTTGTTCTATATGTACCTGTGCTCCTCTCCCCTTGATCTATATGTACCTGTGCTCCTCTCCCCTTGTTCTATATGTACCTGTGCTCCTCTCCCCTTGTTCTATATGTACCTGTGCTCCTCTCCCCTTGTTCTATATGTACCTGTGCTCCTCTCCCCTTGTTCTATATGTACCTGTGCTCCTCTCCCCTTGATCTATATGTACCTGTGCTCCTCTCCCCTTGTTCTATATGTACCTGTGCTCCTCTCCCCTTGTTCTATATGTACCTGTGCTCCTCTCCCCTTGATCTATATGTACCTGTGCTCTCCCCTTGTTCTATATGTACCTGTGCTCCTCTCCCCTTGTTCTATATGTACCTGTGCTCCTCTCCCCTTGTTCTATATGTACCAGTACTCCTCTCCCCTTGTTCTATATGTACCTGTGCTCCTCTCCCCTTGTTCTATATGTACCAGTGCTCTTCCCTTTCTATAGTACCTGTGCTCCTCTCCCTTGTTTATATGTACCAGTGCTCCTCTCCCCTTGTTCTATATGTACCTGTGCTCCTCTCCCCTTGTTCTATATGTACCTGTGCTCCTCTCCCCTTGTTCTATATGTACCTGTGCTCCTCTCCCCTTGTTCTATATGTACCAGTGCTCCTCTCCCCTTGTTCTATATGTACCAGTGCTCCTCTCCCCTTGTTCTATATGTACCTGTGCTCCTCTCCCCTTGTTCTATATGTACCTGTGCTCCTCTCCCCTTTTTCTATATGTACCTGTGCTTCTCTCCCCTTGTTCTATATGTACCTGTGCTCCTCTCCCCTTGATCTATATGTACCTGTGCTCCTCTCCCCTTGTTCTATATGTACCTGTGCTCCTCTCCCCTTGTTCTATATGTACCTGTGCTCCTCTCCCCTTGTTCTATATGTACCTGTGCTCCTCTCCCCTTGATCTATATGTACCTGTGCTCCTCTCCCCTTGTTCTATATGTACCTGTGCTCCTCTCCCCTTGTTCTATATGTACCTGTGCTCCTCTCCCCTTGATCTATATGTACCTGTGCTCCTCTCCCCTTTTCTATATGTACCTGTGCTCCTCTCCCCTTGTTCTATATGTACCTGTGCTCCTCTCCCCTTGTTCTATCTGTACCAGTGCTCCTCTCCCCTTGTTCTATATGCACCTGTGCTCCTCTCCCCTTGTTCTATATGTACCTGTGCTCCATGTCTGTTCCGTTCCGTCCTATTCTTGGTTTCTTTGGATTTTTGAGTGTTGGACTTTTATTCTGTTAAATCATTATTGTTGCATTCTTGCTTTTGAGTCCTCCTTCATCTCACGTGACAGTTTTGACTAATGCATAAAATAAGTAAAATGCACGAGAGGACAGTCATGCGGTCTCATTCATAATGAGCCGTGTTTGTGGCATCTATGCGGCACAATGTTGATCGCAGAGGGAGTGCGAGGGGGACATTAATAGCTGCGTCAATTCAAGTCAAAGTATTTAGAGAGAAAAATGTACACAACATCATTCTCAACCCAAAGACTACCACAACTACTCCTGTTCTCAACCCATAGAACAATGTCACGTCATGGGATCCAGCCCTGGCTCTAAAACTGTTTCCATCTCGAGTTCAGCTCTTGGTCTGATTCGAACAGTGACATTCCCGCCCTCAGCTCCGGTCATGAGCCACACCACAGCCACGACCAAAAGGACATTTCCCCTGGAGCGGGACCAGGATCTTGCAGAGGGTGAGGAGCTCAGAGGAGACCTGCCTGACCCACGCCCTGTCCCTGCAGCATGTACTCGGGTAAGACCTTCCTCTGGGTGAGACCTAGTACATGCTGCAGGTGTCTCTCAGCCTGGGAACACCGGGGATTCCCTGGTGAGCAGAGTGTGGGGAGTCTGCTGCTTCTGTCTGCTTTAAAAAAATAACTGAAGAAAATTGACGGTTTTTGTAAAAGTATCTCTGTTATGGGCAAACACAATGTGATTTTAATGAAAACATTCTCACAGTCGCACCCCGCTGTATTTCCATGAAGTAGGTTGTATCTGTATATTTTTATCTATTTTACTGTAAGTGTATTATCACGTCTTCACAGTGTATTTTCCTTGTTCTTGTCGGTGAGTGATTCGATTTGAAACACGATCCCTGGAGTGCGTCACCAGAAGCAGCTCCAGCTCAACACCAGCAATGCTCTTCCATCCGCTACGTCTAAAAATAACTTCTGTGTGCAACCTGAGCCCCCCTCACCCCCCTCTCATCCCCCTCTCATCCCCCTCTCATCCCCCAAACTGCAGCCTCCCTCGTGGTGCAGTGATGGAGGCTTCTGTCAGTGAGACCCTCAGACCTGAGACCCCTACAGCTGTGATGTCATGGGATTTACCCTGTAATCTGTCTGATCATCTGTGGTGATGGGTGCATTATTGTCACAAATGTTTGGTCATTTAAACCTGTTGTAAGTAATCAATCAAAGCTGGGACTTCTTTTACAATAGCTGTTGATGCTGCAGGCGACGTAGCACCGACAAAAAGTGTAAATATAGGATAATGTGTCTGAATAAACCTTCTGCTTGAATGAGAATGATGGTACTTTTCTATAAGAAGCTTCTGGAAACCCTGAGCTTCCAATGTTTGAAGCTCAGGATAATCATGTAATATGTCAGTAAAACCGTATTATAGAAACTGGAGACAAGACAAAGATTCTAATCTCAAAGCTTCATCGATTTCTTCCAATTGTACGGTCAAAGTGGATTTACTTTTAATTGTTTGGAAGTAAAGCTAAGTTAAAGCATGTTCTGTCTTCTTCAAAGTGCTGTAGGACATTGTGAGGCAGTGGTTTTCCAAATGAAAGTTAAGTCAAATGTTCAAATGACAATATAGTTCACTTCTGCAGGTGTCTGACGAGAAGAAACCGAGAGGGATCTGTCGTCACTGACCAACCTAAACAAAGCATTATGGGTAATAACTAAAGAGAAGAAGGTCTGCTCATGAAAGTGAATCAAAGTTGTTCAATCAAACTTCAAAATGTTGAATAAATATATTACTGCCTTTGTTGAGGCTTGTAACTACAGTAGTTTGTAACTAGTATACCAGATGTGGTTTGTAACTAGTATACCAGATGTGGTTTGTAACTAGTAAAGTTTGATGGTTATGTGTGCCGTTCTTATGACGCCATTGAACCCACTCTGAAAGGTTCTGTCAGAGAGAAAACTGAGGTATCGGGTCCCTGTGTTGGCCCCTCCTCGGGTCAACGCCAGGTTTTCTGAGACCTGACATGCGGCACATACACACACACACACACACACACACACACATAGGCACACACACACACACACACACATACACACACATACAGGCAGCACAGACACACACACACACACAGCACCAGGTGAAGTGGTCCCTTGTGGTCCTTGTTTAGTTCTGGTTCAGTCCTGCTCAGACCTCCTTCAGTCCTGTAAGTCTCTGGTCTTACCTGATCAATGGCTTGGCTCAGGAGTGATGCCCATGGTCTGGTGTGACAGGACCCTCAGGACTCTGGACCAGGTCTGGACTCACTGGAGAATGTGAGGTGGAGAGAAGGAGGTTTGGTGGTCTGAGCAGCAGCAGCAGCAGCAGCAGCAGCAGCAGCAGCAGAGCAGTGTGTGTAAAAGGCACCTGGAGTCTGCAGTAGGAGGAGGGGAGTGGGAGGCGGAGCTTAGAGAAAGAGAGAGGGGCCTGAGTGACGCAGAGTGAGATGTGCTGATGAAGCAAAAGACTGCATCTGCTCTGTCTGCTCTGCTACAGGGATGGACCAAGACTAAAGCAGGACTAAACCAGGAACCAGGGCTGAACCAAGGCTAAGCAGGACTAAACCAAGGCTAAAGCAGGACTAAACCAAGGCTAAAGCAGGACTAAACCAATACTGAACAAAGGCTAAAGCAGGACTAAACCAAGGCTAAAGCAGGACTAAACCAATACTGAACAAAGGCTAAAGCAGGACTGAACCAAGGCTAAAGCAGGACTGAACCAGGAACCAAGACTGAGCCGAGACTAAAGCAGGACTAAACCTAGGTTAATGCGGGACTAAACCAAGAATCAAGACTGAACCAAGGCTAAACCAAGGCTAAAGCAGGACTAAACCAGGAACCAAGACTGAGCCGAGACTAAAGCAGGACTAAACCTAGGGTAATGCGGGACTAAACCAAGAATCAAGACTGAACCAAGGCTAAAGCAGGACTGAACCAGGAACCAGGACTGAGCCGAGACTAAAGCAGGACTAAACCTAGGGTAATGCGGGACTAAACCAAGAATCAAGACTGAACCAAGGCTAAAGCAGGACTAAACCAGGAACCAGGACTGAGCCGAGACTAAAGCAGGACTAAACCTAGGTTAATGCGGGACTAAACCAAGAATCAAGACTGAACCAAGGCTAAACCAAGGCTAAAGCAGGACTAAACCAAGGCTAAAGCAGGACTAAACCAATACTGAACAAAGGCTAAAGCAGGACTAAACCAAGGCTAAAGCAGGACTAAACCAATACTGAACAAAGGCTAAAGCAGGTCTGAACCAAGGCTAAAGCAGGACTGAACCAGGAACCAAGACTGAGCCGAGACTAAAGCAGGACTAAACCTAGGGTAATGCGGGACTAAACCAAGAATCAAGACTGAACCAAGGCTAAAGCAGGACTGAACCAGGAACCAGGACTGAGCCAAGACTAAAGCAGGACTAAACCTAGGTTAATGCGGGACTAAACCAAGAATCAAGACTGAACCAAGGCTAAACCAAGGCTAAAGCAGGACTAAACCAGGAACCAGGACTGAACCAAGGCTAAAGCAGGACTGAACCAGGAACAAGGACTGAACTAAAGCTAAAGCAGGACTAAACCAAGACTGGACCAAGGGTAAAGCAGGACTAAACCAGGAACCAGGACAGAACCAAGGGTAAAGCAGGACTGAACCAGGAACCAAGACTAAACCAGGTCCATCTGTCATGACTTGCTATCCTACTCTGCGATCTTTTGTTTTTGGTGCCCTTTTAAAATGAGATCATTTGTCAAAGTACGGTGGTGCTCTCACTTTTACAGGTCTCTAGTTTTGGGAATCTGACCCGAGTCAAGTCAACACGAGAGACAGACTCAAACTGTTACTAATGAAACAATGTGCACAAGGTTCTGTTTGTCTCTGGTGTGTCTCTCCCTGACCAGGTTCACCAGTGAGACCGTTTGAAGATCAGGCTCCGCCCCATAGACTGTATCTCCGCCCACAGGGGACCGGCAGGACAAATAAAAAGTGGCATTAAAAGGGGACAAAGTAACTCACTTCGTCACGTCTCGTCACAAGTCCATTTAAAGATCTGTTGTTTTACTTACTCCATGAACAACAGTTACTTTGGCACTTTACAGCCACAGGGACAAAATAAAAACTAGAAATTGTACAACGGCCGAAGCCAATGTGAGTGACTGCATGAATACACAAAAATAAAAAGCTGTGAAATGGATCAAACTAAAACAGTTTCAATACAAAGTGCAAGATCTTTAAAGTGCTCTGTTTAAACTGGTCACAGTTTGTGGAAAGAAGCTGTTGTCCATCTCAACGAATGATATCATCTGCCAGAGGATGAAGCTGGAACAAGGCTTTTCCAGGGGCCAGAAGAGTCATTGATTATTCTAACACAGTAAAGAACCTCACAGGTGGTTTCAGAGCGGAGCACCTCTCTCTGGTTCAAGTCGATTCAAATTAATTTGTTTTACTTGAGTACTTTTAACCTTGTTTTATTTCTGTACTTTTCTGGTGCACACTGAGGACTTTGGAAATCTATTCCAATGTGGTTTTACTGCAAATGTCAAATAAATGAGTCTGAGTCTGAAATGTTGAACGCTTTATTCATTTCTCAACAAAATACTTTTATTTTTCCAGTGGATTTCTTCTTGATCTGTTTGGTTGGGACCATCCTCTCTGCTCTGGTCTGGATCAGTGTAAAACCATCAACACTCTGGTCTGGGACAGTGTGAAACCATGAACACTCTGGTCTGGATCAGTGTAAAACCATCAACATTCTGGTCTAGATCAGTGTCAAACCATCAACACACTGGTCTAGATCAGTGTAAAACCATAAACACTGCAGCACCATTTACAGAGAGAACCAGGACAGCTAATGACGATCTCTGTGTTTGAGGGAGAGGCAGTGGGGGTTCTGCAGCCGCCCTCTCCTCAGCATCCACAGCCCGAGCCCGATCACCAGAGTGGCCTTGGATCCCAGACTGAGGACCAGCAGCAGGACCAGCCCGCCCCTCCACCTGGTGCCGGACCCTACCCTGGTGCAGGGAGGGGGCTGCAGGTAGTACAGTGTGGCCTGGTCTCGTCCCAGAGGGTTGGTGGCGGTGCAGGTGTAGTGGGTGCGGGGCCTCACAGGGGCCAGGCGGCTCTTGGCGTGGGAGTGGGGTTCCTCCTGGTGCTCCGGGGTCTGGGTTACAGCAGAGACCCCCTCAGGCTCCAGCCACTGCACGTCCGGTAGTGGAGAGCCTTGGACCCGACACACGGCCCCAAAGCTGCAGTCTGAGGGCCCGCTCTCCAGAGTCAGAGACATGATCCGTGGAGGAGCTGAGACAGAAACAAAACTCAGAACAGTTCTCTAATCCTCCTCTGCTCCTCCTCTACTCCTGTCTCCTCCTCTACTCCTGTCTCCTCCTCTGCTCCTGTTGCCTCCTCTCTCCTCTGCTCCTGTCTCCTCCTTTACACCTGTTGCCTCCTCTCTGCTCTGCTCCTGTCTCCCCCTCTGCTCCTGTTGCCTCCTCTCTGCTCTGCTCCTGTCTCCCCCTCTGCTCCTGTTGTCTCCTCTCTCCTCCTCTGCTCCTGTCTCCTCCTTTACACCTGTTGCCTCCTCTCTCCTCTGCTCCTGTCTCCTCCTCTACTCCTGTCTCCTCCTCTGCTCCTGTTGCCTCCTCTCTCCTCCTCTGCTCCTGTCTCCTCCTTTACACCTGTTGCCTCCTCTCTCCTCTGCTCCTGTCTCCCCCTCTGCTCCTGTTGCCTCCTCTCTCCTCCTCTGCTCCTGTCTCCTCCTTTACACCTGTTGCCTCCTCTCTGCTCTGCTCCTGTTTCCCCCTCTGCTCCTGTTGTCTCCTCTCTCCTCCTCTGCTCCTGTCTCCTCCTTTACACCTGTTGCCTCCTCTCTCCTCTGCTCCTATCTCCTCCTCCACTGTCTTCCTCTACTCCTGTTGCCTCCTCTCTTCTCCTCTGCTCCTGTCTCCTACTCTACTCATGTCTCCTCCTCTGCTCCCGTCTCCTCCTCTACTCCTGCCCCCTCCTCTACTCCTCCACTCTCCTCCTCTGCTGCTGTTGTGTAACAGCAAAACTCTAGTAATATTCATATAACACCAACTCAGCATCTACATTTTAATTGTAAGTACTTTCTATATAAACAAAGAGTATTTCAGCCAGTACACACTAACCCTGGTGCAGACCTCCAGTACCTGACCCTGGGCCCTTGGTGTAGACCTCCAGTACCTGACCATGGCCCCTTGGTGTAGACCTCCAGTACCTGACCATGGCCCCTTGGTGTAGACTTCCAGTACCTGACCCTGGGCCCTTGGTGCAGACCTCCAGTACCTGACCCTGGGTCCTTGGTGTAGACCTCCAGTACCTGACCCTGGGCCCTTGGTGCAGACCTCCAGTACCTGACCATGGCCCCTTGGTGTAGACCTCCAGTACCTGACTCTGGTCCCTTGGTGCAGACCTACCTTCGATCCGGACCCTGGTCCCGCCCCGCTCCCGGTGCTGTTTTCCCTGTGTGTCCAGTTGACAGTAGTAGCGGCCGCTGTCCTGCAGGGTGGTGCTGCTGATGCGCAGGGACAGGTCGTGTTCTCGTGGGTTTCCTTCCAGACGGTACCTGTGCACAGACAGTACCTGTACTCACTCAAGTGTGTCGGTGTGTACCTCTGGTGTGCTTGTGTACCTCTGGTCCTGGTGCAGTCCCGCCTCACACCCCTCCCCCTCGCTGTGGCTCACACAATGAAACACCAGGACAGAGTCTGGACTGTGGCCCCGCCTCCAGCTCACCTGCAGTGATGCATGATGGGAGTGTAGGGGGTGGCTGAAGGAGCAGGGCAGGACCATGGGGTACCCCTCCCTACCCCTGACCTCCGCTGGTACCACCAAGTCCCAGCCGTCTTCCCCAACAGCACCTGTTACAGGACGTACCATGTGTGTCAGAGACCATTATAACATGAAGTACCATGTGTGTTAGAGACTACAATGTTTGTCTTTTCATGGCCTCTGGATTCTGCCTCTGTGTCTGTGTGTGTGTGTGCCTGTGTGTGTGTCTCTGTGTGTGTGCCTGTGTGTGTATCTGTGTGTGTGTCTGTGTGTGTGCCTGTGTGTGTCTCTGTGTGTGTGTCTGTGTCTCTGTGTGTGTGTGTCTCTGTGTGTGTCTGTGTGTGTGTCTCTGTGGCCCACTCTCATAACAGTGCATGTTATGTTCTTTCATCTTTTCAGCTTCATGTGAAGAGATATATGATAATAATTCTAAAAATAGCACACGTTTAAGTAAAGGTTGAGGCGTTAGCCATGTTTTACTGCCCGATTTAGTGAGAATAGTTTGCAGGAGCAAAAAAACTAAATGCTGCCTCACTCTTTTTGGTCTTGACATTTGGGACACACTGTAAACCTGTCCCAACCCAAAGACCCCAAAGACCTGAGACCTGAGGACCCGCTTTCATATAATCCATTCAGGGCCGTGTTTACTGAGAGAAGCACTTTAAAGTCTCTTCCCTAACAGACTGGAAGTGTACAGACACTGCTCTGGTGCAGACAGACAGACCTCAACAGTCATGTGATGCTAATTCTGCTTTCTTATTGGATGTTTTCTTCCTCATAGTCCATGTGAGACTCACCTCTGTCCAGAAAGAATTAAATGTGAACATTTCAAACTGTTGGCTCTACAACAATCATTTGAACTGAATATAGGTGTGTTGTGTTCAGGTTCCACTGGATTGTCCCGGTGATCTGCAGATGTGAACCATCTCTGCTCAGAGTGCTGCCTCTGTGTTCTGGCCCCGGATCAAGTGGAAGAAAGGAACGGAATAGAATGTGATGTCACTGACCTGAAGCTGACGAGAGAAGAACCGTAACCAACAGCCACCGCTCCATAGTTCTGAAAGACACAGAAGACAGATACACAGCTCAGTCCTGACTCACACACACACACACACGCACATAAATACAGACACACACACACACCCACTCACACGCACACACACGCGCACATACACGCACACACACACACAAAAACACGCGCACATAAATACAGACACACACCCACTCACACATACACAGAAACACACCTGCTCAGACTCACACACACATATAGACACACATTCGCACACACAGAGGCACACACACACACACACCCACTTCCTCTCCTCACACTTATAACTACTTCCTCAAATTCGTCTAAAAACAGAGCCTTTGATTCCAGGGTCATGTGATCACGTTGCTACAGTTTTGTTACAGTACATGCTTCCAGGACTATTCTATAAACAGTTGGGTGTCATGCGTAACACAAACAAAACTACTTTTTTATGGGGAAAAGTCAAGTAACGCATTAACTATCGACAATCGACAATCCGCCGAAATGTTCCTTTTCAGCGATGGGAAAACTGCTTCTAAACATTGTGTTGGAGCTTGTATCAAAACTGCCGCTCATTTCACAAACATGTCGATGTCTCGGACTCTGCAGCCACTGCTTCGCTTGGTCTCAACTGTGTCGGTGTGTCGAAGCGTTTCATTGGCTCAATAGGTTTCCCAGCTTCTCATTGGTTCAGAGCCTTATGTGGCGTTCAGACGAGATCATGCTGCGTCCAGTTTCAGTGTAAAGTCAGACGGTCTCCTCGGTTTGACAGATTGTAGTGGATATTATATACTGTAAAGGAAGTTATAGATCTATACAATCCACTACAGACACAGAGACAGTAAAGTAACAGGTTATTACAGATGCAGTCAATGATTTATCCAGACGCAATTTTTTAGATACTGTGAGGAAACGTCCCTAACCCCAAAAGTCGTCAAGTTATGATGTGTTTTCAAATAGGAATGGACCAGATGCCTGTAGCCTAAAAAAAAAAAAACATGAATATTTTGGAGCGGACCAATAGCACAAAACCAATGGGATGCGTTCACCCCTCTCTTGCTTTTCGTCAGGGCGCACCTGAGTTGTAATGGCTTCTCTGCATGGACCACTTCTGCGTTTTAGTTATATCGACACTTGACTTCTGGTGCGCGAGGATTGGCTTGAGTTTGACTGTGGCTGAGATGGAGTTCACCAGATGTTTACACAAGTTTCCTAAATAATGCTCAAACATGAAATAAACTTTGAGGATGCTTGGAATCTTTGGGACACAGCAGTGGTCTTTATCTCTCTGAGTTACTAAACAACGTCACTACAACTCACCACATCGATGGTTTTCTGATGACGTCACGCACTACCCACCATTCCGCAGTTCGCCATATTGTTTGTCTAGCCGCCGATGGTTAAACAGGTAAACAAAGCGTAGCACATCACTTTTTTTGCCCTAAAACATGCCGGCTACCTGCGTCGTTTGGGGGTGGAGTAACCGCGCAGATTGTGGGGACGTTCCGAAGGTTATTACGAGCCAGGGGAGCGACTCTCAACGGAGAAAAGAACCCTGTAGTTGGCGAGGATCAACCGAGAGGGATTCAACTCTAACTCCCTGAAAAACTTCACTATAAGGTCTGTTCTGACCATTTCATAACAGGTAAGAGCTAAATCTGTGCATGTGTGGTTTATATTCAGAGCTGCCATTTGACTGTGATACAATACAATACAATTTATTCTTGTATAGCCCTAAATCACAACAGAAGTCATCTCAGAGGACTTAACAAAACCATTGAAATCACCAACACAGATCAGAGAATCAACAGTTAAAACACATAAATAATACAGAACACATGTTGATAAATGTCCATACAGGTTGTAGAATGTTAAAGTGTCCTGGATCATCACCACATCCTTTTTGTTGACACTAACTGTCCAACAGACCCTCCTGCATCAGCAAGGAACAACTCATAAGAAAAACCCAGTGGGAAAAAAGTGAAAAACCTTGGTGAGACCCATAGTTTGAGAAAGGGATCCGCTCCCACGGACGGACGAGCTATAGATCCAGGACCTAAGCTACAGAACGTGGACCAGCGGCAGCTGAACGTGGACAGGTCCGGTACAAGACTGAAGAACTTCCAGGCGGGTCGGGCAGGGCAGTCCGCAGGTGTAGATGGAGGAGGCCAAGTCCAGGGGTCCCGTCATCGTACCATGAAACAGACAATGGGACAACGGGTGAATAGAAATGAACAAACTACAGTCAAAATCCTAATAATGCTAAACAGGTAAAGTAGGAAGGAGAGGATAGTGCTCAAGTTACCATACTTCTCCAGCAGGGGGCTCCCTATGCAGCTTGACAGTCTGAGGGCGTAGGGTTGAAGATACCATGCATAAATGGGCCTCAAGCGACAGTTAAGGCGACAGTAGCTCAGTTGGTAGAGCTTTGGCCTTTAAGCCAGAAGGTCGTGGGTTCAAGCCCCGCTCAAGACTTTCACCATCGACTCCCTCTGACTACTGTCGTTGTGTCCTTGGCAAGACACTTAACCTCTGGGAACACCAGCCACAGTGGGGCGGCTGCGGCTGTAAAGTGCCAAACTGCCGTTGTGTCCTTAGGCAAGACACTTCACCCCCATTGCCTAGAATGAGTCTGGTGTGTGTGTGAATGATTGGTGGTGGTCGGAGGGGCCGATGGCGCATACTGGTTGCCTCGCTTCTGTCAGTGTGCCCCAGGGCAGCTGTGGCTACAGCAGTAGTTTATCACCACCGTGTATGGAGTGAATGAATAATGACACATGTGAAGCGTCTTTGAGTGTCCAGAAAAGCGCTATATAAAACCGATGCATTATTATTATTATTATCAAGCGATCCCCTCTAAATGAATGAGAGGAGGAGGAGGAGGGGGGAAAGGGTGGTAGACAGAAGTGTTTTACGGCCTGCGATATCGACTGCTTCGTTCAAAATAAATTATTGATTGAAAGAAATATTGCATCATATACATCATGACCCTTTTTTAATTGTAAAACTGTTAAGTGAAAGCCATTTCTGGCGAAGTCCACTGGTCTCGCCGCATTTCATATGGATCCAAATCTCCGATCACTCTCAATTTCTCCAAGTACTTGCCTTACAGATTCCTATCATTTATGGACTGACTTAGATATATATCCAAGAGAGACAGGTTTACTACCAAAAGCTCGGCACAGAACTTGTAAAGAGTTGCAGTACCTATAGCGTTCTATCTTTTTATAGAAGTTTTTATTAAGTTTATTTAGAAGAAAGACAATGTGCAGTTTTATTAAAAAGACCAGATTAAACACCCGCCGATTTCCATCGCTAGTCCTGTACATGATGATGTAGTTGTAGATATACCAGTATGCATAATATATACATCTTATTATTATTATAATTATTATATGAGATCTGTCTCATTAACTCAGTGATAACTACACTCCAAGAGATGGTCTTCTAATGCTGTGTTAAGGCGCCCTCTTCTGGACATCTATGGATTTTCTGTTGCTTCAGTGTCTCTGAAGGAGCAGCCTCTGGTCTCTGTGTCCACTGCCTTTGGCTTCATGTCCATGTCCTCTTGAACTTTCTGCAGAAAAGCATCTCACATCGATAGTTGATGTCACAAACAGAGCCTGCTGCTTCCATCCACTTCAGACGGATCTTTAGTTTCCAGAACTGTGCAGCATCATGGAACCGTTTATTTAAGATACTTGTTCTCTGCCACCAGGGGCCTCCTACCTCCAACATACCATGTGGTACCAGACATGTATGTATGTCACAATGGATTCAAATGTGTTCTCTATGACCGTAGGCTCAATTTACTGTCTATGGTTCAAACAATAGTCTCAGAAGGTTTTGTGTGCCCCCTAGTGGACATCAGACTGTAGTGTCAGTGCAGCCTCCACTGGGAATCCGTGCAAATATGTTATACATTTTTTTAAAGACAATTTTATCAAGAAAACAACCACAGTATTAATTTGACCCTAAACGCTGAAGGCAATAAGCAAGAATTCAAAGTAAACGTTATTAATCCCAGTCCACAAAACCAGTTTTGTTTCAGTCTCAGAAGCTAGACTCAGTTTGTTCATAGAAATATGTTAAATTTGATCAAACTCAAATAACTTCAAACAAACTTCAATAACAGTAAAGATTTGGTCCAAACTCCTTCAAGATGAAAAGTCACAGAAACAAACATTAAACTATAAAACTTCACAAATGTCTGATTCTTGGTTTTCCTGTTTGTGTCTGTTTCGATACAAACCTTTTCTTTCTCTGTTAAAGTTAATGAATGAGAAGAGAATCTCCGCATAGATCTGTTTGCTCTGATGATAATATATTCTGCACACACATAAACACGTGATAAACATAACCCTTAAGATGGCCCAGCTTCAGACTCCACCAGACGCCTTGGGTTTGAGTCTGCTCTGAGAGAACCAGTGAAGCTTCAGCTCTGTCTGTAGTTAAGAAGGTTGTGTTTATATTCTGTGAAATCTTAACATTTTTTCACAAAAATATCATAATATCATAAGTATTGTTCTGCCTCCGTTTTTTAGTGGCTAGATGAACACCTGTTTAATTGTGATTGGTACATTTTGATTTACTTGTAAATGAGTTTCTAATAATTCACTTTAAACACCGTTTTCTTATTGGTTTAGTTGCTATGCAGTTTTGGTTCATTTGGTTGCTATGCATGGTTTCTAGGCAGTAGAAGGCTCTCAAATGTAAACATGCTTGTTAACAGTTAGTAACAGTAACAGTCTGCTGAAGTTACTACTGTCTCCACTTGTGTCTCAACTTTTCTACATGTACGAAAGCAATAACTGTAAGTTTTGCAAGTGTGTTGTTATTTGTTTATTTCTGTCAATCAAAGCTAAATGTACATTATTTCTGTTTTATTTCATAGTTTCACTCGAGCTTTTTACGATAACCTGTCTACAAGTCCTGTATTAAAGGATCAACCTGGCTCGTGAAGACCGAGTTTGGCTTGCTGTTGATTTACGTTAACATACTCCATGTATACAACGCGTAT